CACGCACACACAGACACACACTCAGAGTCAGCGTGACAACATCTCCAGCAGTTTCACCAGACCACAGCTAATCATCTGCATCATGACTTACTTACAAATCAGAAGAAATTCATTATCGGACAATGTTTGCCACTCTTATTTATTTTAAATCAGATATATTTTATTTTTTTAAATGGCATATTATCTATCTATATACAGTACTTGTCAAAAGTTTGGAAACATTATGATTCTTAAATGTTTTTAATGAAGTCTCTTAAGGCTGCATTTAGCTGATCAACAATACAGTAAAACAGCAATATTATGAAATCTGGAATTGGAATATATATATATTTCAGTCGGTCTGTAAGTTAGTAAGAACTCATGCTGATTTTTACATATCTAATTCACCACTAACTCTTATTATGATGTCTTTAAAAACAAAGCATTTCTTATTGCTAGAGTGTTAGCAGGTGTTATGCAAGTGTGAAAAGTAATATATATATATATATACACTGCCATTGAAAAGTTAGGGATCTGTAAGATTTTTAATGTGTTTTAAAGAAGTCTCTTCTGCTCATCAAGGCTGCATTTATTTGATAAAAAATACAGATAAAACAGCAATGTTGTGAAATATTATTACAATTTAATATAATGGTTTTCTATTTTAATATACTTTAAAATGTAATTTATTTCTGTGAAGCAAAGCTGAATTTTCAGCATCATTACTCCAGTCTTCAGTGAATGAATAGAAAGTTCATGTAACAGAACTTATTTGAAGTAAAACTCTTTTGTAACAACATCATTTCTCCAGTCTTCAGTGTCGCATGATCTTCAGAAATCATTATATGACGCTGATTTATTATCAGTGCTGGAAACTGATGTGCTGCTTAATATTTGATATTTTTCAGGATTCTTTGATGAATATAAAGTTAAAAAGAACAGCATTTATTCAAAATAGAAATATTTTCTATCAATATAAGTCTTTACTACCTCTTTTTCAATTTAACACATGCATCCTTGCTGAATAAAAGTATACATTTCTTTCAAAAAAAGAAAGAAAAAAAATTACTGACCCCAAACTTTTGAATGACAGCGTATATTGTTACAAAAGATTTCTATTTTAAATAAATGCTGTTCTTTTTGACGTTTTATTCATCAAAGAATCCTGAAAAACTATCACAGGCTCCAAAAGAATATTAAGCAGCACAACTGTTTCCAGCACTGATAATAAATCAGCATATTAGAGTGATTTCTGAAGATCATGTGACACTGAAGACTGGAGCAATGATGCTGAAAATTCAGCTGTGCATCACAGGAATAAATTACAGTTTAAGGTATATTCAAATAGAAAAGTGTTATTTTAAATCATATTTCATATTTCCATATAAGGAATGATCCTCACACATACCTACAGTGTGAGAGGCGTACAGTAACTGCTCCAGGATGGCTGTTTTCCCCACAGACGCCATCCCACACACCACCACCTTACACCCCTTCCCCATAATCACTGCTGGAACAAACACACATCACATCACATCACCGACCAGAAGAGCAGTCGTGTAACAAACATCACAGATATATTCACAGCTATACGCAGAGTAACTGATTACATGTAATCAGATTACAAAAATAAAGTACTTGTAATTAGAGTAAACTACATTTTAAAATACTTGTAATCAGACTACAGTTACTTTTTATTGATTACATGATTGCATATTATTCACACAATAGCAATAAATTATTTATTGATTCTCCCTAATTCCTCTTTTTCATCGTTTAAATGTTCCTTTCTAAAATATCGATTCAGAAGTCACTGCGCAGGTTGCACAGAAACCAGAGGCCACAGCATTTGAGCACTGGATTTACAGAAATCATTTCAGTTTTAACAAGTGTTTTCTCGACATTTCAACACATTGATTTTTATTTGAATTATCACTCTGTAGGTTATTTAACCGTGTGTTACTTACGTCTTTGGAAGGCTTTTGTCTTTCAAACACATTCAAATGCACAGATTCACACACTTTTTGTTGTCATCTTTCACCTAATATATTTACTTGAAGTACACCTGAGATTTTAAAAGAAATATTTTAATAAACAAGTATCACATCTGCATGTTCAAGGGTCTCTGGCTGGTTAATGGTCACATGACAAACAAAATATTTCATTTTCTCAGTAAGTTTTTTTGTTTTTTTGATAGATTTTAATTTTTAATTTAACATTTTTATGATTTAATGAAGTATTAGCTTTTCATGAACCCCCTGCAGTTCCTTCACAAAGCCCAGCTTGGGAAACCTTGACGTAATATCATGTTTAATATATAATATATTAAAAGTATATGAATTGGCAAAACCTGACGCACATGCTCTCCAGAAAGCGCATTTTGATTTTCAGTGAAAAAATAATAATAAAAAAGATTAGCAAAAGATTTCACATCACAAGTAACGCAACTGACTTTCGCAATGCGAGCGCTTCTTTATTTTTAATGTTTGTTTGCCGATTTAATTAATAAAAAAGAAACATCCCCGATTTTCATTGTGGCCCCAGACATTCTGGACCCCACTGTGCATAACAGTGACAAGTGTTTAAAATGACATGAAATATCTGAATATATAGCCGAAATAATCTGCACGTAAAGCTCAGTTTGCTGTTTGTTATGAGATGCTTGTGAAGAAAAGATATTAGCATGCGTTCATTCATCAGTTAGAGGCACACTGAGAAATACTAACTCACCTCGCGGACTGACAGACGATAAACAATAAACATCTGATCGATGATAAATCAGATGATCGTCAACATGAGACTTCAGTGTGTGCTTCAGCTAATGTCACTTCCGGGAGACGAGCCCTCGCTTCTTCTTTTCCTGAACCCTTGCGAAAAGTGAAATCATACTATTTAGTCTGAAATTTCAGAAACATGTTGCAACGCTGGGTAGCTTGTTGGTTAAATACATTTGATGCTTTAAGTTAAAATCAAATTCCTAGCTAGGACTACATTTCCCAGAAATCTTTAACAACGGAGCCGGAAACACGATGGAACAGCCTCATAAAGCATTATGGGTAACTTTTCTCTCTCTTTCCGGTTAGTACGCCATCAAGTAAGCGAGACTCTTGTCATTTTTCTGAATGTAGAATCCATCAAAAATCTGAATGCGTTTAATATCATCCGAGTCACACCTTTCGTGTGTTGTGTGCGGAATACCTGAGCTTTACTCTCTGACGCTCATTTCCCGCCATAATGATGTGGCGCGCTGGTTTTAAAGCGGTTTGTGGAGAGGAGAGTTGCTGGCGCGTTTTCTTCCGTTTATGTCAAAACTGAGTTAAACGTTACGTTGTCATGTCATTTTCAGGAGTTCTATTTATAACGGTTATTTAAATCGCTGTCTGTGGTTGAAGAGTACAGTTGTGACTGCATGTAACGGTTGCCATGTTGGGCAGATATTACACTGCATTATTATTCTATAATCCCCCTGAAACAGCTGTTTTGTATCTGTGGACTGAGACATCAGATCGCTCTTACTCATGATAATATTAACTCATACACACTTGCTGGTTTATGGTTGATAAAAAGCTGCTCAGACATAAAGATTTGACTTAAAATGTATCTGGCCGTTTACGATGAAGTGCATAACGTGTTTCTTAATTTTTTTGCCGCCTTCAATTAAAAAAAAAAGTTGTCATTTGTATTAAAAATGTAAAAGTTCCATGCAGTCTCAATTAAGACTGGATTATGGTCATAAAGCAGTGAGTAAAATGCAGTTTATTAAAGCAATAAGCCCCGTGAAGCCGTGGTTTACAGTGAATTTATAACCGCTGAGGGGGTTTTAGGCACGACGTGAACGCCCCTTAGCTGTTATAAATGAAACGGTTATTCCATGTACGTAGTAAGGTTTCACAAAATAAAACAGAGCAAATAAAGTGTAATGATATTAATAAAAACAGTATTCTTCCACCAAACAATGAAAACGGTTGTGGTTCCAACAAAGTGGTTGCCGAGCAACACACAGAAGTAAACAAAGGTGTGTGTTTGTGGAGTAATTTACAACGGCTTCAAACGTGGCTCAGCCAATCAGAATCAAGCACCGGAACTCCGCTTTATAACATAGTTTTAGAGGCAGCATCATGTCAACTATCAAAACGCATATGACTTGTGTTGCAGTGTTTTCCCGGCGTGGTCGTTAACCTGACTTTTGGTGCTGCAGGTGAGGCATCATGGGAGCGTACAAGTACATGCAGGAGCTCTGGAGGAAGAAGCAGTCGGATGTGATGAGGTTTCTGCTGCGCGTGCGGTGCTGGCAGTACCGTCAGCTGTCGGCCCTTCACCGGGCCCCGAGGCCCACCAGACCCGATAAAGCCCGCCGGCTGGGATACAAGGCCAAGCAGGGTGAGTGGTGCTTTACTGGTTGAGCAGTGTTTTTGATCCAAATGAGTTAAGCGCCACGTTTAGCTGATACTCAATTGAAGATTGTCTCTGTTGTCTTGAGACTGTGCATCTTAGCTCTGTGCTTTCGTCCAAACAGGCTACGTCATCTACCGCATACGTGTGCGCCGTGGAGGCCGCAAGCGCCCCGTGCCTAAAGGTGCCACCTACGGCAAACCCGTGCACCACGGCATCAACCAGATCAAGTTTGCACGCAGCCTGCAGTCCGTAGCCGAGGTATGTGAGCAGCCTGAGAGGCGATCTGCTGTTAGACGCACTGACATCTTGCTACTTCATTCAGTGAAAGTGATCGACAATGCTCTCAGGTTTTAAATGTATGTGGGCACTTTTAAAAAGCATATGCAGGGCTTTATGGTTTGACATTTATGTTTTTTTATGACCTGTAATCCATGTCAATAATGGACGCATCTACACTGGAACTGATTTTAGCGAGTAAGCACCTAATCTGTTTAAAAGGCCTCAATCGCTTGAAATGTATTTGTCCATTGAGACAGGATTACTGTGTCATATTAGTGTCCGAGTTACAGGTACTTTAGAGTCAAGCAACAACTCTGTCTGAACAAACACCCTCGGTCCTGTGATAGTGCAGCAATGCACATTAACTTTTTCAGCAGCTTTGCTTCCAGAAGTATTTTTCCCACTTATTTTTGTCATAGGTATTGGAAAAAAGTCTTCACTAAAGAGAATCAAACCAACCAGCTACAAGGTTGCGTTACAAACTTGATTGAAACGAAAAAGTATTTAAAAATCTGACAAAAAGACAAAGTTACAAGACTTAACACTAAAGGAAAAAAAAAGAACTACAATCCCATGAAGCATGGCATTAAAAGCTATTTATTTCAAATTGATTTAAAGATGTTGTAAGATAGGATGCTTTTTTGCAAGTATCATACCGTATGGCTATCCGTATAAATGACAAAGTTCTTTTGGCTCATTTTGCTCACTGCTTTTTTTCTGATTGGTGGCGATTTCTTTGCATAATCATGGGTAATGTTTATCTTTCCTGGCAAAAAAATGATTATATATATATATATATATATATATATATATATATTGAGAGAGAGAGAGAGAGAGAGAAGAATACATGAGAGTGTGTGTGTGTGTGTGTGTGTGTGTGTGAGAGTGTTAGTGTGTGTGTGTGTGTGAGAGAGAGTGTGTGTGGGTGTGTGTGTATGTGACAGACAGCATCAGTTCAAATGCTTTGTGTGACTGCTGAACACACACACACACTCACTCGGTGATGTACTGTAAATGTTACTCCATCCTATATGCATGATGCAAAGTGGAATGGAGAGCATTTTAATGACAGTTGCACAGAATATAAATTGCACATCTAATTTATCAGCGGAAAAAGCTTTTAACACAGGTGTCCCAGTGGAGTATGTAACAGAGTAATGCAAAGTGTCATAATGATTCTTTCTATCTTCATTTGCAGCACTAATTTTCTATTATTTCATCACTTTAAACCTTACAACTTCTTGTGAATTGTTATCTTTCTTTAAAATAATTGTTTCTTGATATTTTTATCTAATTGAACAACATTCAGAAAGGTTTAGTAGATAACATTCTGTAGCTAGTTTATTGCTCTGCACGGTGAGTCTAGTAATGGTGAGTGTCAGGTGATCACTCTTATGAACCCAACACTAAACGTTCATATTTGAAGGCCGTTGTCTGAGTTCAGGAAGAGCCTGTGAATCTTTTAAACTCTTCCTTGTGGCGTCTCTAGCCTTGAAATTTTATTTTTGTCCTAACATATTTAGCCGTAGGTCCTAACACCCTGACCTCTGACCCCTGACCTCTGTGGCCGGAGCCTTGAATGGAAAAGCTAAGCAGTGTTTGGTGTGAGAACCAGGCACCATTATTGATCTTTGGGCCCTAACGTGACATTACTGAATCAGCAATAGATGCCAATTTAATACTAATCAATAATGTGTTAGAAATACATCTCCTTTGGACTCATATTTATAGTAAGGTTTACCCCTTCTGTCCTTCATTACTTTTTGCTTTCTTTTTTATGGTTTAGAATATTTAAGCTTAAAGTGATGTGTAGATCTGTACAGATTTAATATAAAGGAATACGGTTCAAAAATCAAATTGTTCAATAGCAATCAAGTCATGTCAAAAAATGTCAACAAAAATAATTTGATTGATTGATTTATGTATATATTTATGAATGCATGCATGTATGTATGTCCGTCCAGTGACTTACCTGATCATAGTTAAAACATATCGAAGTCACATAACGCCCCAAAATATATATTTTGCCTAAAAACAAAGCCTGTTCAAAGTTTATTACCAATGGTTGTAATGGGACATTATTTTCATGACAGATAAGCACAACTCTCTGTAATTCACTATTCTCAATATTATTCAATATTAGTCATAAGTAGCATGAGTATATTTGTAGCAATAGCCAACAATACATTGTATGGGTCAAAATGATCCATTTTCCTTTTATGCCAAAAATCATTAGGACATTAAGTAAAGATCATGTTCCATGAAGATATTTTGTACATTTCCTACCGTAAATATATAAAAACTTAATTTTTGATTAGTAATATGCATTGCTAAGGACTTAATTTGGACAACTTTAAAGGTGATTTTCTCAATATTTTGTTTTTTTTTGCACCCTCAGATTCCAGATTTTCAAATAGCTGTATCTCGGCCAAATATTGTCCTATCTTAACAAACCATACATCAATGGAAATCTCATTTATTTATGTATAAATCTGACCCTTATGACCCTTATGGTTTTGTGGTCCAGGGTCACATTTTATAGTAATGAGAATACACATTTTAATGGTTCTAAAAACAAGACTACATTTAAAACCTAAAATTTTGAATATTCGATTTTTTTTCACCCCATAAGGCTACCAAGTGATTCATGCTAAATCAGCTTAAGTGTAAATCTCTTTTCAACTTGGGGTGCACAGCAAACACCACATTTCTATAAATAGGCTACTGGCCATCAAAACGTCCCTTTGATGTACTGAGAGGTTAGTTGGCAGGGCATGGGGTCACCAGGGCGCTCCGGGTGTGGGCTGAGGGGCACAGGAGGCCCCGCAGGAGCAGTGAAAGTGTGTCAGTGGGTTATACTGACCCTAATGCAGCTGGGGGCGGAGCCGCCCTGAAGCGGGTCACGTGATCTGCAGCTCCGCTCTCTAGCAGGCTACGCTCACCCACTCTCTGCGCTAACCCTGCGTTTATCCACAACTCCGAGCTACAGCAAGTCCAGTCGACTCAGAGAGCGACCAGGGAGCCTGCAATAGACGCGAGGTCGTGTGGATGTGGTCTCTAGCCGCTCCGGGTTTTATTATAGCGTTTGAATTCATTTATTTTTTCTGTGATAACCCGAGGGTGTTTTTTATCCAATCAAAACGGCGCTAAGTAATTCGGACTCTCTGGTAGGTGTGTTAGAAATGCTCCTCAGGTAGTGTGTAGGTGGAGAGATCACACAGCGACTAGAGAGTTGCTGTAAACGGAGTGAAAACGGCACTAACACACAGGTGACTGCGGCTCTAAGCTGTCGGAGGACATGGATTTCACAAAGGCTGGTAAGATCAGCACGGTTTACATTTACTTCTGAATATGACTGTATAAGCGGTGGTATCTTCAGTGTAGTCTTATTTTAATAAATGACACCGAAACGTAGTTGCACGTGATGCCGCGAATGTTTACTGTGCATTGAGGTGTGGTTTGGGTTTGTATTACTTTATTTTCAGCAAAACTTAATTTTTGATTAGTAATATGCATTGCTAAGGACTTAATTTGGACAACTTTAAAGGTGATTTTCTCAATATTTTGTTTTTTTTTGCACCCTCAGATTCCAGATTTTCAAATAGCTGTATCTCGGCCAAATATTGTCCTATCTTAACAAACCATACATCAATGGAAATCTCATTTATTTATGTATAAATCTGACCCTTATGACCCTTATGGTTTTGTGGTCCAGGGTCACATTTTATAGTAATGAGAATACACATTTTAATGGTTCTAAAAACAAGACTACATTTAAAACCTAAAATTTTGAATATTCGATTTTTTTTCACCCCATAAGGCTACCAAGTGATTCATGCTAAATCAGCTTAAGTGTAAATCTCTTTTCAACTTGGGGTGCACAGCAAACACCACATTTCTATAAATAGGCTACTGGCCATCAAAACGTCCCTTTGATGTACTGAGAGGTTAGTTGGCAGGGCATGGGGTCACCAGGGCGCTCCGGGTGTGGGCTGAGGGGCACAGGAGGCCCCGCAGGAGCAGTGAAAGTGTGTCAGTGGGTTATACTGACCCTAATGCAGCTGGGGGCGGAGCCGCCCTGAAGCGGGTCACGTGATCTGCAGCTCCGCTCTCTAGCAGGCTACGCTCACCCACTCTCTGCGCTAACCCTGCGTTTATCCACAACTCCGAGCTACAGCAAGTCCAGTCGACTCAGAGAGCGACCAGGGAGCCTGCAATAGACGCGAGGTCGTGTGGATGTGGTCTCTAGCCGCTCCGGGTTTTATTATAGCGTTTGAATTCATTTATTTTTTCTGTGATAACCCGAGGGTGTTTTTTATCCAATCAAAACGGCGCTAAGTAATTCGGACTCTCTGGTAGGTGTGTTAGAAATGCTCCTCAGGTAGTGTGTAGGTGGAGAGATCACACAGCGACTAGAGAGTTGCTGTAAACGGAGTGAAAACGGCACTAACACACAGGTGACTGCGGCTCTAAGCTGTCGGAGGACATGGATTTCACAAAGGCTGGTAAGATCAGCACGGTTTACATTTACTTCTGAATATGACTGTATAAGCGGTGGTATCTTCAGTGTAGTCTTATTTTAATAAATGACACCGAAACGTAGTTGCACGTGATGCCGCGAATGTTTACTGTGCATTGAGGTGTGGTTTGGGTTTGTATTACTTTATTTTCAGCAGGAGAGCTCTAAGTAGGTTAACAGCGCCAGGCTTGTGTTGTTATGCCATAGATTGTGGGTTACAGTCTCCCGACTCACATAGACCGCTCAGCCTAGCCATGTGCGTCTGTGTTTACGCGTCCTGTGCGTCTGCTCTGATTGGTCGAGAGAAGTCGTGACGTACGTGTTGCATAATTTGCATGGCGGTATGGATGCATCTGCAGCTGCTGTTACACGTGAGGCGGCCGCAGTCTGACCCACCTTCCGAGATGGTCCTCAAGGCAGAACACAAGATCCAGGGGGCGTGGTAGGATCCAGATCCAACTCCTCCCACATTACATATCCCTAAACCCACCCATCTCCACCCCCTGATCCCTAAACCCACCCATCTCCCCCCCCTAGATGTGGATCCAACCCCGCCCCCAAGACATGCCTA